TCCATTCCCCTCCCCTTTCTTGTATATTGCACGCCACCCCCACCCCCCCCATAGCATCCAAACTACCCTGTGTCTATTGTCTGCCCTGTGTTCCACCTTCCCCTCCTTCCCCTCACCACACCCACTACATCCAGGTAACCATCAAAGAATTCCCTCCCCCTGCCCCCCATATGGGTTATCTTAGTCTTTTACAGTAGTGCTCTTATGCAGTATTTCTCCTTTTGTGTCTGACTAATTTCACTCAGCATAATTTCCTCAAGGTTCATCCATGTTATGCGATAGTTTACAGCTTCCTTGTTGTTCTTCAAGGTAGCATAATATTCCATTGTGTGTATGTACCACAGTTTGTTTATCCATTCTTCCATTGATGAGCACTTAGGGTGTCTCCATCTTTTTGCTATTGTAAATAGTACTTCTATGAACATTGGTGTGCATATATCTACGCATGTTATGGCTCATATTTCTTGTAGGTAAATACCAAGTAGAGGAATTGCTGGATCATAAGGAATTTCTATTTCCAACTTTCTGAGGAAGTGCCATATTGCTTTCCAGAGAGGTTGGACCATTTTGCAATCCTACCAGCAATGCAGGAGTGTCTCAGTCTCTCCACATCCTAGCCAGCATTTATTGTCCTCTACTTTTTTGATCTTTGTTGTTATTGCTGGTGTGAGATGATATCTCATTGTTGTTTTGATTTGCATCTCTCTAATGGTTGGGTCAGAGATAAAGAGGAAGACCCCCAATGAGATGGATTGGCCAAGTGGCAGCATCGATGGACTCAAGTATGGCAACAGTAGTGAGGTTGGCCCACGATCAGGCAATGTTTCGTTCTGCTGTGCATACGGTCACTATGAGCCGGTGCCGACTCGATGACAACAACAACAACAACAATAGCTAGTGATCGTGAACATTTCTTCATATGTTTGTTGGCTGCCCAGATCTCCTCCTTGGTGAAGAACAACCATGTCTTTGTGGATTCCAAAACCTTGTACAGGCTTTGGAACACAATAGGCAGTCAAGAAACTGAGCTGAAAGGAGTTACTATCTGCTACAAGATTATTATCTTATTTGTAAAATACTTTTGGCATTATTATAAAAAACGCACTTCACAAAAAAATTAGAAGATTGTTTAAAATATGAGATAACCCAAACCTTTCAATCTTATTCCAGGTGACAATTTGTTGAAAAATTTAAATTTTACTTATGAATACCTGATATCATTTCTAAAAGAATCTGAGATAAGAGGAAGATGCATTACATCCTTTTCCTCAAATGTCAAAAACAGATCTTTTAGAAGCAACATTTGCTTCTTCGATACAAAGCACTCCACAATGGAGACTATCTAAACATTCTCTGTCCTTTAACTGGCAATTCATAAACTAGTTTTTCCTTTTTTTCCCATGAACTTGTTTTAAAAACGTACATTGAAAATCTTCAGCAGAGCGGTGCAAGAAATCTATTTTAATTTTTCAGTAGTGACTAAACAGTGGTAATCTGTTACCTAGTTACTGCTGAAAAATTAAAATACTGGTTCAATTCAACAGGGAAGTATGCAAACAAAATAACATATGGTAATACCAAGCTATCTATCGAACTACAACTTTTTCACTTCTGACTCTGGTCCTCAAATTATGGTTATGGACCAGCAATATCGACACCTCCTGGGAGTTCGTTCATAAGAAATGCTCTAGTCCAGACCTCAGGAATAGGAACTGAATTTTAACAAGATTCTTGGATTATATGTAGACATATTACAGTTAGGGAAACATTTTTTTGCTAATTTCTAAAAATTTCTCGCATAACATTCTAGCCGAAAAATCCTTGGATGAAGCTTACCCCTAGGGGTAAAAGTAAGAATTAATTTTACAGCTGTCTTCTGTGTGTATTTGCAGCAAATTAGTTAAATACTAATTCAGTTTAAACCCAACACAAAAATTATCATCATACACACACACACACACACAGTTGTTTCTTTACATAATAGTTACTTGGATTCCTAGAGGTAGCAGATCACATAGTCTGGTGTTCTTTATTTTCACAGAACTAATTTGGTATTATCTGAAAGTCCATCAAAATTCCCTTTAATCACTCACTTCACTAATTCTACAAGAGAAGATTCCCATTCACACGCTAGTCTCCTAAATTTGCTCTCTTTATTTTGTGTGTTATACTTCCATCCTTAGAGGAAGAAAAACAGCAGCCTCATTCTTTAGAGTGCCGCAGTACAAAGTCAATGATAATTCTGGACAACTGTGATAAAACTGAACAAAGACTTTGTCTTAGAGAACATCTGATCCACTGGTTGGCCCCAGTACAACCCAGAGCATTGATTGAACCAGTCTTTGTTTTCTCAGTCCTGACTCCATGACTTAAACAGGGAAGGTGCTCAGTAAGTCTGGGTTCAATGAACTGAACAAATACACTTAAGACAAAGCAGACTCACTCTCAACAGGCCACAGTCACGCTACGAGAGTATAACTAAGGGGTTTGTATAACTTAGCAAGATTCGGGTTCTAGATTATAATTTATTCTAGAGAACAAATATTACAAACAACAATATCCAATTCTATAAATTATACAATATCCAATTCTACAACTTATTATGAAATATGTACACTAAAGTGTGGTGCTGTAGGATAAGCACTGGATTGCTAACCACACGGCTGGCAGTTCAAATCTACCAGCTGCTGCTTGGAAACTCTATACAAGGTCCCTATGAGTCGGAACTGACTTGACATTTAATAACAACAATAACATGTACACCTAAATAACTAGAAAAGGTTATTCAAAGCATTCTTATTCTTGTTCAGTGAGTTTTTTGAGAGCCTGGTGTGCAGTAGTCCAGGTGGTACAAATGACTAAGCACTGAACTATGAGTCTAAAAGTTGGCAGTTCAAAACCAATCAGAGGTGCCTTGGAAGATAAGCCTGGTGATCTCCTTTGAAAGGTCACAGCCTAAAAACCCTGTGGAGTCCACGTGGGGTTACCATTAGTCTGAATCAGCAATTGGTAACAACAGTGTGTACAGAGCCTTGAGTGGCGTATGCTATCTAAAAGTGAAATAATCCCAGCCCTAAAGAGAATGGATGGATGAATGAAGTGGCTAATGGACCTTTGGTTTGATCAATACAGGCAGGCCTGTCAGAGCCAGTATGGACATACAAACTTACACTTGTTATTAAGTGCTGTCAAGTTGGTTGCGACTCACAGCGACCCTGTATAGGGTTTCTGAGGAGCGGCTGGTGGGTTTGAACTGCCAATATTATGGATAGCAGTCCAGTACTTATCTTACAGCACCACACCAGGACCCCACTGTAGAAGACATGGACTGATACAGGACCTCTACCTTTAGAAAAATGTCCTTTTGTAGGAGACTGCATCTTAAAAACTGTGGGTCTTGATTTAAATGCCTCCTTCTTTAGGAAAGCCAACTCCTGGTGGAGCACTGTAGTATCAGCACTGGACCGCAAGGTTAGTTTGAACAGCAAGGTCAGAGGTTCAAAGCAACCAGCCACTCCTTTGAAACTCTATACAGGGTCACTATGAATCAGAACCAACTTGATGGCATTTAACAAAATAACAACTAGGAGAGCACTCTGAAAACTAAAATAAAGAATTTGAACCAAAAAAGTTGGGGGGATAAATTACAAAAGGCAACTCAGTTTGCACATTCAGAACATGGTGGTCGGGGTTCTTTGCCAAATGGCGTTTAACAATAAGTAAGTATATTGTGGAGTCCTGGTGTGGTGCACTGGACCATAAGGTCAGTATGAACCACATGGCTGGCAATTCAACCTCAGCAGCTGCTCCTTGGAAATCCTGTACAGGGTCGCTATGTGTTGGGACCGACCTGACGGCACTTAACTACAATGAGTATAAGCTGTGATGAAGGGGCTGAGCACTAAGACCAGAGAGCAGGGCAACACCCTGAACAGCATGCACACTCCTGCCTAGTGGGCATTAGGAGATAAGCCTAAGTCCAAAGAACAGAGATTTCAAAATCCTTAAAAGAACAAAATAATCTCCATCTACCTTTAAGGCCAAGTAATATGTTACTTTAAATATATGTATAATGTAGAAGGTAGGCATTATTGGCTATTGAGAAAGGAAATGTATGTTGGGCCCTAAGCAATCCTGCACATTCTTACTGAATGTACAAAGAACACAAGGCTCTCAGGAGCCCAGGTGGCACTATGGGTTAGGCGCTATGGGTCAGGTGCTGGGCTGCTAACTATAAGGTAGACAGTTCAAACCCATCAGTTGCTCCAAGGGGTAAAAATGAGGCTGTCTGCTCCTGTAAAGTTTCAGAAACCCTGTATGGGGTCGCTCTGAGTAAGCGTCAGGTTGAGTTTTAAGCTCTCCTTACTTTGGCCGTTTCGAAGGGCTGCACTTGTAGCAAGTGACCTTGAAGGATGAGATAACGACCTCCCTCAGACAAATGGCAGGATTCTTTGCTCTGCTCTGCAGGCAATGGTCCCCAAGCTCATGCTTCTCTCTTGTAATAGGACCACTGCGCTCACCCACAGTGGGCCTTCAGCATCCTCCAGGGTGGAAGCAGGAAAGACCAACACAAAACAGCGAGAAGCCCTGATTCCTTTAGTAATAAAATCCACTGTTTTTGACCCTGGAACTCGGTGCTTTCTGTCAGCATTAATAATACAGTGACAGGCTGGCTTGTTGGCAAATACCTTTTTATGTGTTATTGAATTGAATTTTGACTCCCAGTGACCACACGTGACAAAGCAGAGCAGCCCCCTATGGGTTTCTAGGCTGTAATCTTTACAGAAGCAGATCACTGGGTCCTTCGCCCAGAAAAGCACTGGATGTGTTTGAACCACACATCTTTTGGTTAGCAGTCAAGTGCTTACCCATTGAGCCACAATGGTCCCTTTGATAGCATGTTAGCTGTTAAGGAGGGTAAAATCCAGGATCCTGCACAATTCTTGACACTGGCACTGAAAAAACACACCCCATTATTCTATTATTAAGGTTTATCTTACCGGATCCAAGTTCTTAAACAGCAGGATGTCTTTGCAAGCCTCTTGCAATCTATTTCTTTGATCATCAGTTTTTGGATGAATAATCTGAAAGGATAACAAATTTAAAAACAAGACACCATTAATAAACAGTTTTTCACTTTACAGACCCATCTGGGGGACAAAAATCTCCTACCAAAAATTAGCAAGATGATAGAAGAAACAATTATTAATGCTGAGGCCCACTTTGGTGGCTAGTAATTAAACTATAACCATCAGGCCACTCAGTGGGGGAAAGTTAAGAATAATTTGTTTCGCGGGAACACTGTGAATTCATCCAAGGAGCACTGGCTTTTTAAAAACTGAATCTTGCTCCAGGTTAGGAGGTTCATTATGCATAGTCTGTGAGTGACACCAAAGACTCCAAAGCTCCCAGCCAGCGGAAGAAGTGCAAACACACAACAGGTTAGAGCCATGCTGTACATGTAGAAACTGCCTTGATTCTGTTTTTACTGAGTATGTTAACATTCTCCCAGGATGGAGCTCTTCCCTCTGAAACAAGATAAAGTTTCTAGAAGCAACAGGTTCTTAAATGCTTTCCTACTTCTAAAGAATCTCATTTCTTATTTTCATGTTTCAAATCAGACTTGGTGTGAGCTCCCTTCTGGATGAAGGATTTGCTTCTGAATAACCAAATGCAATACTTTGTTATTATTAAGTGCTGTCCCGTCAGTTTCAACTCAGTGATACTGTAAAGGGTTTCCAAGGAGCAGCTGGTGTATTTGAACCCCCAACCTTGTGATAGCAGTCCAGTGCTTACCCTATGCACCACACCAGCAGTCTTCAACAATATACCCAAATCCAATCTTTATTATGCTAGAGAACACACTGTTTTTCATTATAATGTATCTCTAATTTCAACATAAATTTTTTATTAAACAAACATTTATTTAGCATTTACTGTGTTGTTGTTGTTAGGTGCCATCGAGTCAGTACCGACTCATAGCGACATTATGCACAGCAGAACAAAACACTGCCCAATCCTGGGCCAACACCTCACTACTGAGTCCGTCGATGCTGCCACTTAGCCAATCCATCTCATTGGAGGTCTTCCTCTTTTTCTCTGACCCTCCACCTTACCAAACATGATATCCTTCTCTAGCGAATTGTCTCTCCTGACAATATGTCTGAAGTATGAGAGATGAAGTTTGGCCATCTGGGCCTCCAAGGAGCACTCTGGCTGCACTTCTTCCAAAACGGATCTATTGGTTCTTTTGGCAGCCCATAGCACTTTCAATATTCTCCTCCAACACCATAACTCAAAAACCATCAATTCATCTATGGTCTTCCTTATTCACTGTCCAGCTTTCACATGCATATGAGGTTATGGAAAATACCATGGCTTGGGTCAGGCGGACCTTAGTCCTCAAGCTGACATCTTTGCTCTTCAACACTTTAAAAAGGTCTTGTGCAGCAGATTTGCCTAATGCAATACATTGTTTGATTTCTTGT